AATATACATATAAGCAAGGAAAATCCCGTTTTTTTTTTTACAATTAATATGATGTATACAATGATATCCCCGACTGAATTCATTTCTCATTARAGTCGTGACCGTTCCTTTTACAATATTTTTGTAAGGAAAATTACGAGAAAATCTGTTCATTTTTGTCGTATTTTAATTGGTATTCCACATTAATTTATTTTATGATGCTTTGCATAAACGATTTCTTGATTTTGTTCCTCAATATTCCGCYTTTATATAATAAGGATCTTAAACCTATATTGTTAATCAAAAATAAATCAGATAAAATGCTTAAGTTTTTTTCAAATATTTTGAATTATAATGAATTCTTAGTTCTCTGTGATAAATATAAATACCACTCTAAGAAAAMATAACATTTTCTGAAGTATTTATACGATCTCTAATTTTCATTTATTGTGTGTGCTGATCAATTAATAAATAATATGATCGACTAAATGTCGTTGTTACCAGTCGGTTATTATCAACTATTGTAGTAGAAGTAATGCTTTGATTTTTGACTACTTCAGCCCTTTTTAGAAAAGGAAAATTCATTTAGTTAGTACTTTGGGTCAAAAGTAAAAAATGTTCATTAGTTTTCAAAAGTGTTAGAAAAAACCCTAAAAAAATAACGAAAATACAAGAATTTTTACGCATARTCAGTTTTTGACTAGATCGGGTTTTTTCAGAAACGAATCATTGTAAATTCTTGAAATTTTTGCCAAATGTTTATATTAGCGTTATCTATTCAAGATTMAATTTTGAAAATATTTTAACTATTTTAAGCTGCTTATAGACACTTGAAATTTCAATTTTTCTAAGTTTTTTTATGCCTGTAAAAAAGATTTGGCTGTCGAAAAATCTTTAAAATTTAATACGAAGTTTCTTATAAGTTTTACTTGACGTAATAAAAAAATAAAATAAAAATCGTTAGTCACATTCTTCGTTTATAAGCAATTAAAGTTTAAATGTTTACAAAACATGTAAAAATTGCGAAAATTTGCTTGGAATTATGAAGTTGAAAATTCATGACATTGTTCTGATTTATTCCTAAGGTTAAAAAATCTAACACAAGGTTCTCCATAATTCTTTCTTCAAATAATTGTAAAAATAAATACCAGAGTCAATATAGAAAACATTTTGTGAGCGTATAAAATATATTTTAATTTAAATATATGTAATGTAATATATCCTAGGCTGATAAATCATCTCCGTTCAGAATCGTTTTTCGTATACAATGATACCATTGCATTCAAATTTAACACATCCATTATAGTRACCCTACTCWCCATCTCTACTATATAGCAGTCAACAGAGCGATACCCACTTGCCCAATTTTTTTTTTTKAATAAABAATATTTATAATTGTAGGAATAAGAATTAGATATTTTTTAATTACCGTAGCTAATATGATACATTAGTTTATTAGTAGACTTTTTAATAAGTTTTTGTAAATTAATTTAGTATTTGTATATTATTAATTGTTTCTAAAATATAATTTATAAATGAACAATATATTTAATATAATAGAATCTAAATAATTATATATTATTGTTAATTATATCATTATCACCATATACTTGTAATATTCTTGTATTTCCTTTATTTAAATATTAAGATTACTGTAAATAACTTGTAAACATGTTTTGTTCCCGGCTAATGATTTTAATGTTGAAGCTGTATCAATAAAAAAAAAAATATATAYATATATATTTAATAAAAAGAGTAATGTAATTGTTATTAATATTTACTTTTTAAACTGCAGGCTTTTAAATTTCCCTTGTACTTAAATATTTGTCCTATATATTGGTTATTTTATACCTGGATATTTTATCCGTTGAATTTAATACAGGGTATTTATTCTTTGATTAAAATGAAATATAATTGCAACAGATATTTACTAGATAAAATTAGAAAAATCTAAATCAAATAAATTTTATTGAAGCTATTTGAACAGAAATTTGTACTGTAAATCGAGTTCTACTGTAAAACTTCTTCGTAATACTGAAAATTCATTTTTTTATTTATTTTTTATTTTTTATTATTATTATTTTTTTATTCATTTACACTAGTATTTAATCCGAATATGTTCGGGAAAAATTAACAAACATAACATATAGCAGTAATTAACCAGTGTATCTAGTTTACCTTAGTTTACGGGAAAATCGGCATAAGTGTACTTCACTTTGTGAACTAATTCAACCAAGATAAGCTTGAGATGGGTTGGATATAGCATTTGATATATTTTCTAACATGATTCAAACTATTCCGTAAACTTTCTTGATATCTCTTAGAACAATTTCTAAAACTTTCGACAAAATAGGTAGAGTAGTTTTTAAGTCTATAAGCTACAAACATATGGACATTAGCTTTTGTTGAACATTTGAATAGGTAACAAAAATTAATTGAATATTCGTTTATTTTATTTCACGGAAATCCCAAAGCAACGCGTGGTGAATCCAGCTAATACCAATTTTGTTCAAATTTTTCCGTTTTTTTATAACCAATATCAACCCGGCAACCMTATACACAAACAGGAGAGTGGTTTGCATGATGAATCCAAACGTAACTCATTYGCGATCCACTCWATATGGGTTGAAAAGCAATGCAAAGAACACTTACCAAGTCTTGAGCATTGAGAAATATGTAAATTTATGCTAGGTAATTAGTATAGTTTCCAATTCTATAGGCTCCATACAAACGTGCATAAATGTATATACATCTATAGGTTTATAGATAATGGTGTTATTTTTACAGTTTTACGKTATGATACAAAAAGTAAGTAAAATATTATAATGTATAAAATATTGACCATAAGCAGAAATTGATGTGATATTAAACGGAAATATGTGACCCGATGTGCAGTACCTTAGATCAAACGTTACATAAAGGAGTCATCTTCACTGCAACAGACGTGACTGGCACATACATCCACCTAAATATTATATAGATATACATTTGAAAGAACTGATACGAAACATAATATACTATACATATATCATATATATTATAATATCGCAGCACATTTATATACGCTATAAGGGCGCTCGCTTTACATAAAATAACAAAGTATAATAATTATTATGTTGTGGTGCACGTTTAATATAATATTATTATTATTATTATTATGTCTGCAGAAACAAGTTGAGATCTGATCGTGAATCTTTTTGACGGTCCACCGAGGGGTGACTGATCTCGTGAGTCGTGGTATAGTATAGGTATACCAGAATATAATAATGTGTTTACCCGAATCAAACGGGATATAGTCCGCACACTAAATTAGTAAAGCTCTTATCTGGTGACGGACTTTAAGTATTCAGTAATCGCGCTCATTGTAATATACGCTTTGGTATACATTCCTATAATAATATATGCAGTGTGTGTAGCCATTGCCACAATAACGATCAAACTACACACAACTCATGATTACACGCTCAACTATTAATTATTTCAACGAAAGACTTATATGCGAACGCGCACACACATAAAATCATATACTTGTATGACTTATAGTCAGGACCACAGTCAATGTTTGCGATACAAATACCTAAATTATGGCATATGTATTTATTATACAATTATTCAATATTCGTKTTTTATATCAAACTAAAAAAAATGTCACTTAAAAACGTATAGGTAATAATCTAATAGTAATTTTTTCAAAAAATCTAGTTTTACCTAATCCGTAAAAACAAATGTTTTAAAAATATAAATTTACCGAAAATATGACAATAATACCTACACAGTATTATTAACGTTAGTGGATAAAATAAACACTTTGAAAATTGTATATAATATTAAGTATATTACCTATACCATGTAGCATACTTCAGATTTATTTTTATAAAAAACGAATTAAAAGTTTGAAAAGACTGAAACTTCGATGAATGTTTGCTCCAACTAATAATTTAAGTTAGTTAAGGGGGTGGAAGTGGTGGCCTGGTAATATTTTATTTATTAAGCTAAAAAATCGAAAAATCTCAGAGCTGTAGGAGTATTTATTGCGGGAGTTAGGTCTTGGATCTTTTAAATATTATACAACATTACAATCACCTCCTTCTCACAGTAAAAATAAATGTTCATGTGATTATTGTATTCTTATATAACCATAATTTTTTTGTTCCAATCTTTAATCTGGCTTCTACTTTTTGCAGGTCTTTACTAAAATAAATAGGTACAATTTTATGAATTGTCTTTAAAACCATTAAGTTATCAGATGCAAAGTGTACAGAATCAACATATACAAAAAAAAGTACCTATATTCTATACATTTTATTTTACCTAAAATTTTAATATAATTTTCGATTATAATTGTTTAGTAATAAAATCTTATAGGTGCTCTGAACTCATTATCTGACATCTGATTATAAAATATCTAACACAAATTTCAATTTTCAAATGTGGTAGGTACTCCACTATAATAATATAAACTTCAACACATATAAATAATATGTATCATGTTTTTTGCCCTTTAAAATATCTTATCTAGTTCTGGAAAACCAGCGCTCTGCTGAGGCTCGTAGTAAAGATATGGTAACTCAATGTTTATCAGTGTACGATTAGTTTAAATATCCATTCGAGATTCGACTATAGTTGTTTTATACTTTTAACCATTTTAACCATTTTATATATTATTATTATATAAGATTTTATTATAAAATTTTATATTTTTAGATCATAAATAATGCGATAATATATACCTTCTTTGTGGTTACTAAAAGCCAAATCTTCCAAGCCATCTCTGTTTTGTTATAAAATAATTTCATTTTAATATAACTAGGTATGTATTTTTATATGTGTTTTATAAAAACATATATCTATATTAATTATGTCGTCTACATTGGTAAATTTCAAATTTGGTTTTCCAAACTTTAAACGTCCCCATATAATCCAAAATTATATACAACAGCAAAAATATTATATTAATATATTCTCTGAAATTGTCATTATTTTTTATCATAACATGAAATAAAATATGGCTATTCTTCTTTTTACTTCTCTTCCTTCTCCTCGTTTTGCTCGTCCTCGTTTCCCTCGTACCCATTTAACATTACATGGGATCTTTCAGCAGAGCTAACCGTTCCTTTGTCAATCCTCTCCAGCCAGGGTAACAACTTCAGCACTTTCAATCTGATTGAATTTTTACTAAAACTATTATCTGACACCACCAATGTTTTTAATGATTTGAGACAGGCCAATTTGTTAAGCTCTTTTACGTCGCTTAAGCGGTTCTCCCTAAAACAAGGAATAATATAAATTTAACCATAATTCATTCGCAAAAATTATGTATATCAAAAAGACAAGATAGAAAAAATTGATAAATAGGTAACCTCTATCCTATTCAATAGTAGGACGAAAAATAGTGTATATCTTGTCAGTTTTTAAGTAAGTCACTGTAAACGGCGTGTTAAATTTGAATTCAATGACAAAATGTTGCATACGAAGAACCATTCTGAGCGGAGAAATTATATCTGACCATATTATCAAGAATATATAACTATGTATATACCTATTTGTATTGTTATTATTATTGTAGTTTATTTTGCTACTAATAATATGATAAATTGAATTAATTTTTTGTGTGAATAAAGTATTTGTTATAATGTTATCAATTGTTATTAAAGTATATAACATCTATTTATATTTTATACCAATTATAATTGTTATAACTTCTGAGTCATACTTACTGCGGATCGGTGTGAATAAGTTAAGTTAGTAATAACTAATAATACTAATAAGCCATTGCTTAAAATCAACCTCAATATTTTGAAAATTTCATGTTTAGTAAATAATAATTAGGGCCTAAATAAAAAATTCAAGTTCCTACATCATAAATCATAATATGTGATTTTTTAAATTACAAAAAAAAAATCGTTATTCATTGTTTAAATATATTTTTCGTCAAAATCAAAACGTTTTTTTTTTTTTTTTTTAAATACTTACTAGAAAAATGTTGCTAATCATTTTAAGTTTTTCGAGGTACATTTAGAATAATATTTATGTGGAACCATAAATATAGTGTATTCACTATTAATTCTTGACTGTTTAAGCTTTGTATTTATGAATTTTTAAATCTAAAATAATTCCAAAACTTTTAATGATTTTGATGAATGCTGTAAAATATTAAAATTTAAAACTCATCCATAAATTGTATCCCTACAAAAACACTTCGTCGACTCCGTGTAAAAAATTGCTAGTTAAAAAAAAACTAGTCATCTATAAGACTTCAGCATTATAAATATGTGATATCATTAATAAATGCTAAGTTAACTTAAATTTGAAAAAAACTAGTAATTTATAATACTTAAACATTATAAAGCTGTGATATCAAGAATAAATGCTAAATAAATTAAATTTTAAATTAATTGATTCTATCTCAATCATATATTTACTTGGCTAGAATTTATATATTTCGACAAATAAACATGTCTATTCATAACTGGACTATTWAAAAAATTTCCATGACAAATGATACTAAATTTGTTTTATAAAAAAGTCTTAGTTATTAATTTATAAAGAAAATAAATTTAGTATCATTTGGCATGGAAATTTTTTAAATAGTCCAGTTTGTTTATTTAATATACTCTAATTTTTTTTAAAAATCATATTCAATTTTTTTTCCATTATTATAATATGTACATTTTTACCCCCTCGAGGCCATCGTTCAAAATGTATTGCAGTGTAATTACATCGTAGCCATTTAT